GCTGGGCCGGGGGCTACAGGCCTCGACCCCCAGCGCGACCCTGCCGCCCCCAGCCTGGCCCCAAGATGATGAAGAGACAGCTGCACCGCATGCGGCAGCTGGCCCAGACGGGCAGCCTGGGACGGTGAGTGTCGCCCCCTTCCTGGCAGCCCCGCTGTTGCTCCGCGGGTCCAGAGCGGGTGTACACGGGTAGGGGGACCGGAGAGGACGGCGGAGGACAGCTGGGCAGCCTCCCTCCGGTCGGCCAGCCCTGCCTCGCTTCCTCCTCTCCGAATGCCACCAGGTCTCCTAGGCAGGGCTGGCCTTGGGGAGAAGTGGCGCCCCGGTCCCTGACAGGGACCTGCAGAGGGGAGAGCGCACCCTCTCTGCCCCCTGAGCTTCTGAGTTCTGCCCAGCCTCACTTGTCCCCTCTGGGTAATGGGGACAGTTGCCCACCTCACTGCTGGGTGGGGGAGGGGAGGGGAGGGCGGACTAGGGCCCAGACCTTGGGGGAGGGGAGAAGACAGGGTCCCGGCCTGGTGGAGGAGGGGCCTCCCCTGCCCCGCGCCTCCCGCCGCTCCTCCCGCCCCAGGCCTTCTGCTTCTCTGTCTTGCTTCTGCTTTTCCCAGGCTCAGGTGGAAACGTCCCCAGGTTTCCCCATTCCCACTCTAAGTCCCTGAGCTGGTGGTGCTGGGAGGCCGGAAGTTTGGGGAGCCTCTGAGGGCCTGTCTTCTCTGCTCCTCTTCCCCAGCCCCTAGTTCCCCATTCTCTGGGCCCAGGGGAGGGGACCGGGTGTCCTGAGACTTGTTCTAGTGTCACAATGGCACAGGCCCTGTGCGCACCAGCAGCCAGACCACCTTGCTCTGAGCCTCAGCATCCCCATGTAGCCCCGGGCAGGGGTCCAGGGCCTGCCCACCCTGCCCGCTCCTGCTGTCCGGGGTCCTGTGGGCCTGACAGCCTGGCCCTCTTTCCGGGCAAGGTTGGCACTTTGTGGGGTGAGCAGTAGAGAGGCTTTGCTCCTGTGTCCCAGAGCAGGGCCCCCCTGGGTTTCGATGGCCCACTTTCTCTCGGGACACACAGTTCAGGGTGGAGGAGGAAAACACCTGAATCCTATTCCCGCCCCATGGAATGTGCTCTGACTGGGATGAAGCCCGGCCACCCAGGGCGAGCCCACCTGGAAGGGGCTGAGAAAGCCCTGGGGTTCGGGTGTCCTCCAGGGGACAGGGGGAGGCAGGAGGTTTCCTAGTCCAGGCTGGCTCAGCACAAGCTGCCCTCCCCACAGCACCCCGGAGACAGCCGAGTTCCTGGGTGAGGAGCTGCTGCAGGTACGTGCCTGGGCGTGGGAGGCAGGCCTGTGCAGGCTGGGGAGGGGACTTGGGGCAGGCGGGGACGCTGGCTGCCCTGCCCCAAGGTTGAGTCACTCCCCACACTCTTGGCCATGGGGTCCCCAGGCAGAAGGAGAAGAAAGACATTTCCTGCTGGGGGAAGTGAGGGGGGTACGGCTGCACTGCAACCCACTGCCCCCACACCTCCTTCCTCCCAGGTGGAGCAGCGGCTGGAGCCTGCCAAGCGGGCAGCCCACAATGTCCACAAGCGGCTGCAGGCTTGTCTGCAGGGCCAGAGTGGGGCTGACATGGACAAGCGGGTGGTGAGTCCAGGGCTGGGGTTTCCCTGCCAATGTGAGCCTCGGGCACCAGGGGCACTGGGGTACCGCTGGAGGCCCCAGGACCACCCCAACCCCTTCTTGACCCTACTTCCCTCTGCACCATCCTTGTGAGCAAGGCCAGGCCTTGGCTGTACCTGAACATCTCTGTCCTCATCCAGTCATCACGCAGAGCAAGCTCTCCACTGGGCAGCCTCCTAAGGGAGCGACATGTGAGCTGGATTTTAAGTGACACTCGGGGGTATTAATCAGCAGATGGTATTTATTGATCCATGTCTGCCAGTCTGTTGCTAAGATAGGATACACTTTGCCTCACTGATTGCTGGCCCCCACCCTAGCAGGAGGTGCTGTTTTACAAATGAGGAAATGGAAGCTTTAAGTTAGTCACCAAATTTCACACTGCTAGCAAGTGACAAAAGCTAGGTTTGACCCCTGCTGTCTGTAATCTCAAAGCTCCTGCTGTCCATAACCTGAGCGTGGAGGGCATGTTGGGAAGTCAGTCACTGATTCTATGAGGCCCAGGCAGAGTTGGAGTTGGGAACTGGGAGCCATGGAAGGTTTGAGCTCAGTGCTCAGTGTTGGCTGGATCAACCACACATCCCCTGGGGAAGAAAATGTCCCACAGTCATGCTAGCTCCTCCTTCCTTTCACCCTCAACCTGGGCCTTGAGCTTCTTGCCCTCTGTGCTGGGTGGTTCTCTGGCCTGTGATGGGACTTGGTCATTTCTTCCTGCCCCATCAGGTGACTTCTTGGAGAGGGGAACGGGGACCCCAGATGGGTTGGGCTCTTACATGGTCAGCGGGGTCATCACCCCTTCCATGCCATGCTGCCCTCTAGTTTCCACTCGCACCTGTGCCTATGGCCTCCTGGGTCGCCTTGTCCCCTGCCCTGGGCTCACTGGGTTCTCAGGTGGGCTGGGGAGCCAGGTGCACTTAGGCTCACAGCCCGGCCTGCCCGCTGTCCCCGCAGAAGAAGCTTCCGCTCATGGCTCTGTCCTCCACAATGGCAGAGAGTTTCAAGGAGCTGGACCCCGACTCCAGCATGGGGTGAGTATGGCTAGGGCTGAGCCCTACCTAAGGGTGCGGAGAAGCAATCAGGGCTGGGATGGATCTGAATCAGCAAGGGCATCCAGGTGGGAAGGATGACCAGGCTAAGGACAGTGTTAGGTGGGTGAGGATGTAGGGCTGGGCGGGGGCCAGAGGGCTAGGAAATGATGGGGAGGGGAGGCCCCACCACAGTGAGGGTGGGGTGACGGTGAGAGCCATCGGGCCCGGACCCACGGCCGCTGTGTCCACAGGAAAGCCTTGGAGATGAGCTGCGCCATCCAGAACCAGCTGGCCCGCATCCTGGCCGAGTTCGAGATGGCCCTGGAGCGGGGGGTCCTGCAGCCGCTCAGCTGGCTGAGTGAGGTGACCCTGCCCCCGGCCCAGCTCCCCAGCTTCTAGCTCTGCCCCCCCAGGCCCCTGAACCCCTCTTGTCTGTCCTCAGGAGGAGCTGCCCGCCATCCTGAAGCACAAGAAGAGCCTACAGAAGCTGGTGTCCGACTGGAACACCCTCAAGAGCAGGTAGGAGCCTGAAGGCACCCGGGGCAGAGCACCAGTGGCCACAGAGCCTGAGTCCCCTGCCGCCCTGGGAGGACACTGCAGGGCCCACAGAGTGACAGCTGGTCCATGGAAACCCATGTGATGAGGGTACATGGTTGACCCCAAAGCCCAGATACCCCTAATCTTCCAAGATCCCAGGAAAGCCCATGGGCCCCCATCCTGCACTCTAAACTGGGTGGCTGTGATTATCAAGTCTGCCACCAGGGGGCAACCCAGAGCACTCAGGCTCAGTCTGGGCAGAGACCCGAGGGATTTGCATCTGTAAATCCCAGAACCCTGTGTGGTCCAGGTATAAAGGGAACACTTGGCTCCGGGCATGTAGTGGGGCTAGTGACCACCCCACTTTGGGATCATCCACAGGCTCAGCCAAGCCGCCAAGAACTCAGGCAGCGGTCAAGGCCTGGGCGGTGGCCCGGGCAGCTATAGCCACACCACAGCGGCCGCCAACAAGGTGGAGACGCTGAGGGAGGAGGAGGAAGAGTTGAAGAGGAGGGTGGAGCAGTGCAAGGTGAGGGGTGTGGGCACCCTGGTGTGGGCAGGTGCCGCCTCCATTTCACAGAGGAGGAAACTGAGGCTCAGAGGAGACCTGACTTGCCCAAGGCCACACCTCTAAGAAGCAGCGGGGGTGGGCGTTGGATCAATACAGTTAGGAGCCTGGCACCGTATCCTGGCCATTACCTTGTGGCTTCCTCTGTCTACACCACATGCAAACATGGGAGGCAGGAACAGGATCTGATCACCAGACCCTGGGGTGTATTTGCTGAGTGAATGAATGAACAAATAGTGCTGCAACTAAGTAAATGAAAAATGATTATAGCCAGGTGTGGTGGTCATAACTGTAATCCTAGCATTCTGAGAGTTTAAGGCAGAAGGAGCAAAAGTTCCAGCCCAATCTAAGTAACTTAGCAAGACCCTATCTTAAAATCAAAAACAAAAAGGGCTCAGAATGTAGCGCACCACAAAGGTCCCAGACTCGATCCTTAGGATCCACTCCCCCCAGAAAAGAATGATAGTAGTCTAACACAGTGATACATTTCTGCAATCTCAGCTGCTCAGGAAGCTGAGGCAGAAGGATCACAAGTTCAAGCTCAGCCTGGGCAATTTAGTAAGAATCTGTCTCAAAATAAAATATAAAAAGGGCTAAGGATGTAGCTCAGAAAAAGCCCCTGGGCTTGATGCCTGGTACGACAGCAAGAAAGAGGACTGCATGATGAGTGACGTCAGGACCCACAGATGAGGACAGGAAGCTGTTAAAGGCCCTCAAGAGTTTGTGGGGTTCCCAGTGGGCTGGCCCCGAGTACAGACCTCGGAAGAGAGAGGAGCCAGCGGGGACCTTCCACACACAGTTGGACAGGTGGCTGTCCCCTCGGAGCCTCAGCTTCCCCACCAGACCCCACATCTCCCCTGGTGTAAACGCTCCTCTTCGTGTCCCCCAGGATGAGTACTTGGCCGACCTGTACCACTTTGCCACCAAGGAGGACTCGTACGCCAACTACTTTATCCACGTGAGTCTAAGACTGGGCCCAGCCATCAGAGTCAGGGGTAGACACCAGAACCAAGGGCCCCCAGGACCCCTGAGCGATGACGGGGTCTGCTCCGCCCCTCACTCCCCAGAGGGTGTTGCTCTGTCCCCACAGCTCCTGGAGATTCAGGCTGATTACCATCGCAGGTCCCTGAACTCTCTGGACACGGCCCTGGCTGAGCTGAGGGAGAACCACGGCCAAGCAGGTGGGCACCTAGGCCGGCCAAGCTTCACCCCGCCCCACCCGGCTCAGGACACAGTTCGATCTGTGGATGGATGAGCTCTGGGCGGGGGAGGCTGGAGCTGGGCAGCTCTGGCAGGAGAGGTTGCTGCTCTGTGGAGCGTGGCATGAAAGGTCAGGACCAGAGCCTGGAGACCTTCTAGGGGCCAGAAGGGAGGAGACAGCGGACCAGTAGAAGTTGGGCAGTTCCACGGGGGGATGGTGGGTGGTTCCAGATGTGTGCCTGGAGGGGGGTGTGTGGTGGTACCACCTTGCAGATGACTGGGGGTGCCCCCAACTGCCCGGCGGTAGGAGGGCCCTGGGCCACTGATCTGTCTCGTCCCTGCAGACCTCTCCCCCTCGATGACGACCACCCCCTCCAGCAGGGTGTATGGGGTGTCGCTGGGGACTCACCTGCGAGAGCTGGGCCGGGATATTGCCCTGCCCATCGAGGCCTGCGTGCTGATGCTGCTGTCCCAGGGCATGCAGGAAGAGGTGCGGAAAGGGCATCGGGGCCCTCACACTGCCCTGTGCCGGGGCCTGCAGTTCCCATTAGAGCAAGGTCCCAGGAACAGGCCTGGCTGCCTGCGGACTGAGTCCCCACGTCCCTATCGCCGGCCTCCCGTGGCACTCCTTGTCCCACTTAACAATCCCTTGTTGGCTCCATTTTAGAAAGGGGAGGCAGGCAAAGAGGAGAACACTCCCTGAGTCACACAAGGAGGTGACTTGGAAACCCAGGTCTCACCAGCTGGCCCCTACCTGTCCTCTGTTCCTTACTGATGATGTCAGTGCATCGGCCCCTCCCTAAGAATATAAATAGAGGCCAGGGATTTAACTCTGGTGCCGCCACCTGCCTCACAAGTGAAAAGTCCTGAGTTCAATCCCCAGTACCAAAAAAAATATAGGTGGAAAATACCCAAAGATAAAAGGGCTTTCTCACAGTCCTGCTGGCCCCCTTTTTCCTTTCCACTCCTGACCAGATTCCTGTCTCCCACGGCTCTCCTCAGCTCCCCCAGACTTCCCCGTTCTGCTCTTCGCTTAGAATTACAGACCTGGAAGTCGAGTCGACTCTGCCCACCAGACCCCTGGGCGCAGTGAGGGCACAGGCCATGGGCAAGCCAGGGCTTCCAGCCAGAGTCCTGCCCTGCCACCCGCCGTGACCTCCTGACCTCTGCCCCCTCTTGCACCCCAGGGCCTCTTCCGTCTGGCCGCAGGGGCCTCGGTGCTGAAGCGCCTCAAGCAGGCGATGGCCTTGGATCCCCGCAGCCTGGAGGGATTCTGCTCTGACCCACATGCTGTGGCAGGTGCTGTGCTGGGATCCCTGGGCAGAAGGGGTGGGGGCGACTCCCTGAAACAACACCCTGATGGCTCTGCTTTGAGGACTGATATTCTGCAGAGCAGACTTAGGGTTTCTAACAGGGTTTGCAGTGAACCCCTGAAATGCATGTACATTTTTCTGGGGGCAAGATCACTAACCCATCAGACCTGGACATGTTAGTGTGAGCAGGGGCCAGAAGTTCCTTCCACATGGAGAGAGCTAGGCACTGGGAGTGCAGGGGGAAAGTTGGGGGCTGCCTCTAACCTTGTTCCCCGCCCCTGCTTCAGGTGCCCTCAAATCCTATCTCCGGGAGCTGCCAGAGCCCCTGATGACCTTTGACCTCTATGATGATTGGATGAGAGCAGCCAGGTGAGGCAGGGGGGTGAGGGAGATGGGGAGGAAGAGGCTACAGAGCCCAGGCTCACTGGCTTTCCCTCCTCAGCCTGAAGGAGTCTGGGGCCCGGCTGGAGGCCCTCCGAGAGGTGTGCGGCAGCCTGCCCCCTGAGAACTTCAGCAACCTCAGGTGAGCCTGGCCCACCTACCTGGCCACCCCCAGAGCCGGAGCCCTGCTGGGCTCAGGGCCCTGGGTTGGAGTCTGGTCCTGTCACCAAATCCTAAGCAATACTTCTGAAATACAGCTTTCCTGAATGGGCCATATTTCTTTGTACTAGATATTGAAATAAACAAATACCTTGAACTTTGCTCTAGCCCTGCCAGCCACTGTGTGGCCCTGGGAGTAAGTCAATGTCCTCACCTGGAAAATATAGGCCATAACAGTCCCCAACCCGCAGCGAGCATAGCTCTGTGCCTGACATGTCTGGCATTTGATAAATGGATCAGCTGATTTAACTATGGAAAGTTTAAACTGGGGGTTGGGGTGTAGCCCAGTGGCAGTGACCTAGCATGCACAAGGCCGTGAGTCCTATTCCCAGCACTCTAAAATAGAAAAGTTAAAAGCCAGCTGAGCATGGTGGCGCATGCCTGTAATCCCAGCACTCGGGAGGCTGAGGCAGGAGGATCGCTGTGAGTTTGAGACCAGCCTGGGCTACATAGTGAGTTCCAGGTCAGTCTCAACTGCATAGTGAGACCCTGTCTCAAAAAACAAACAACAGCAACAACAACAAAAAGTTAAAAGCCAATCTGTATGGTTCCTTCCCACACAAGGCTCAGGAGGCTCTCAGGCCTTGGACATCTATGGGTGTTCATGGCCCAGGGTACCCCGGCCCCATCCCAAGCCCACCTCCTGCCCAGGTACCTAATGAAGTTCCTGGCCCTGCTTGCTGAGGAGCAGGATGTAAACAAGATGACACCCAGCAACATCGCCATCGTGCTGGGGCCCAACCTGCTGTGGCCATCTGAGAAGGAAGGGTGAGGAGCCGTGGGCTGGGAAGGGGACAGGAGGGAAGCAGCCCCCTCCCCCAAGCCATCTGCTGCTTTTTTCCGTGGGGCCTCAGTTTCCCCGTGTGTGGAGACTGGGCAGGGCAGCTCCTTTTCCCAAGGCTGCATGAGGAGCAGCCTGGAAGACCAGGGACTCCACAGGGCTGTCACAGGCACAGCACTGGGGTGTGGGGTGGCCTGAGCCGGAGGCTGGGAACCCAGAGATGGGCTTGAGGAGTCGCTCTTTGGACCTCCGCTTCCTCATCTGTAAATTGAGGACAGGTTGTAAAAACTTTCAGGGGCTTTGCTTTGGGAATCAGAGGAGATCCCGAGAAGTGTTGCAAACTGTAAAGTGCCGTGGCAGGTGAAGAGTCGTCGCTACTTTCCAGGTCCCACATGGTGCAAAGATTTCATCAGGGTGCGGAGACAGTGGCTCATTCGGGGCTGTCTGGATCCAAGAACCGGGGACAGGGACCCCGACTGACTAGGGACAGCTGTCAGGGTGCAGGACTGAATCTCTGCCTAGCAGATGACTCACTTTGTCTCCTTTTCTGTGCCAGGGACCAGGCCCAGCTGGACGCTGCCTCGGTGTCATCTATCCAGGTGGTGGGTGTGGTCGAGGCTCTGATCCAGAGCGCCGACATCCTCTTCCCTGGAGGTGAAGCTCCTGTCTCTGAAAAGGACCCCCTGGGTCTGCTCCCCTGCCCAGGCTGGTGAAGGTCTGAATTTGAGACCTGTTCTTTCTGTCCCCAGACATCGACTTCAACGTATCGGGCCTTTTCTCAGCCCTCGCCCCCCAGGACAAGGTCGGCGATGGACTGGCCCCTGAGGACACACCGCTTGTTGCTGTGCCCCGTCCAGCGACCACCCCGGCCCCAGCCCCGGCCTTGGCCCTGGGCTCAGCCTTAGTGACACCCAAGGAAAGGTAGGAACTGAGGAGTATGAACAGCCCCTCTCAGGACTTAGGGAAGGTCATTATTGGTATTTTCTTTTCTTCTGGTACCAGGGAACATACTCGGGTGCTTGCATTTGCAAGGCAGACAGCGGAACCACTGAGCTAAATCCCTGGCCCCATTATCGGTATTTTCATCTGAGGGACCCATCTCCCAGTTCCCAGGCAGGGACTTGGAGGCAATGCCCTACTCAGCCTTAGATGTGTCTCCTTATTTCTTATGTGGTGATAAACTGAGCACCTACTATGTGCCAGGCACTGTTTCAGGCCCTGTGGATTTAGGGAGCTACGAGGTAGCTGTTTGGGAATTCGTAAACACTTCCCATTCTTCTCTCCGATCTTTTAAGTCCAGAAGGGCTTCGTGGGGTGGTGTTGCCTCTGTACCAAGCAGGAATTATTCAGTTTCCCACAGACTGTGTGGCCCACACTGGGTTTCCTCTGATGAACCAGACAAACAAGTGCTGTCCTTTGAGCTGGCATCACAGGGTTGTGGAGAGTTTAGCATGTTCCCCAAGGCATCTGTGATGTCGGGGAGTAGGGGACACCCTGTGGGCTCAGTGAAGAGCCACAGGAAAGGCCTTCCTGGGGAGCAGAGACCTGGGAGTCACCCCGAGGTTGCTGGTGAACTCTAGGAGATGGCCAACTCCGCCCCCGCCCCTGTCCTCTTCTCCCCTCCCAGGCCAGAGTCCGAAGCGCCACCCAGACCAGTCTCACCCATGGTCAACAGGAGCACCTGGGAGACAGCTGCCCCAGCAGAGGACACCGCCCGGAGGAGTGAGTTCACTGTGGGAGCGGAGAAGGGGACAGGACAGACGGGAAGCAGGGGACAATCCCAGGCCACCCGCCCCTTTAGACCACCGGGGGAGGCCATGGTGGTTAGAAGCCCAGGTGGTTAGAGATGCAGGTGGGTAGAGGCCCAGGTGATTAGAGATGCAGGTGGTTAGAGATGCAGGTGTTTAGAAGCCCAGGTGGCTAGAGATGCAGGTGGTTAGAAGCCCAGGTGGTTAGAGATGCAGGTGGGTAGAAGCCCAGGTGATTAGAGATGCAGGTGGTTAGAGATGCAGGTGGTTAGAAGCCCAGGTTTCACTGCCTGGCACCGGAGGTTCAGATTCAGCTCTGTGACCGGGCAGGTGACATTGCCAGTCCAAGTCTCAGCTTCCTCCTCTGTGGGGTGGGACAGTAACTGCACTTGCCTGGGAGGACTGAGTGGAGAAAGACGGGCTGCAGGGAGAGGGTGGGGCCAGGACCAAAAAAGAGAAAGCATGTGTCGGAGAAGCCGGGAGGTCACAGAGGGCTGTGGGAACAGGAAGAGGTGGGGACAGGGAGCCTTCTCCTGAGACCTCTGATGCACTCACCTGTCACCTGGGCCCAACAGGCGAGAAGGGCAGGGAGTCTTTTCACCAGGGCCACTGGTACCCTTGGGAGGCCCCACCGGCCCTGGGCACCTAGAGTGGCCACTAGCAGCACCATGTCGGGCAGCTGCAGGAGCAGGGGGGATGCACAGGGAGCCTTCTGGATAGAGGGCAGCAGGGCATTTGCTCAGTGCATTGTCACCGTGTGTCACCCAATGTGTCCTCCTACCAGCTGTGGGATGGGTGGTCGGGTCTCTCACCTCTTACCAAATGGGGTCACCCTTGATCTCCAGCAGGGGGTGCTAGAGCTGGAGTCCCAACCTCCAGCCCTTGTGGGGTCAGATCTTTGGGAGCTGGGGTGGGATGGCTCTGGGGGGCCTCTGAGAGGAGGTAAGCAAGACCCAGCTGTCCACAGGAACAGGCACTGCCCATTTATTCGGTGGACACAGTTACCTACTATGCATGTAGCACAGGGTGAGGCAGCCACACACACAGTAGCCTCGCTAGCTTTATGTTGTCATGAGGGAGACAAGCAGTACCAAGAGAAAGTGGATGTGATCATTTCAAGGAACAAGTCCTATAAAGAAAGGGGTGGGGCAGGGTGCTGCTGTAGGGGGGGTGGTTCGAGAGGCCTGATGGGGTAAAGTTTGTGAAGGGAGACCTCCTCATGAGCAGCTGGCTGTCTCAAGTGTCCACTGCAGAAAGGACAGCATATGCAAAGGTCCTGGGGTGAGGTCCTCAGTGAATGCACCACTGGCTTGTGATGTTTAAACACCCTCCCCTCCATTATCCTTCCTCCACAGCCAAGCGCCCTGCACCAGCCCGGCCCACCATGCCTCCCCCACAGCTCTCCAGCACGCGCTCCTCTCCTCCAGTCCCACCCCCAACTCCTAGCAGCCCTGTGACTCCCCGGGCTCTGCCCCGCCGTCTGGTGGGCAGCAGCCTCCGGGCCCCCACAGTGCCACCCCCGTTGCCCCCTGTTGCCCCTCAACCTGCCCGTCGCCAGAGCCGACGTTCTCCAGCCTCCCCCAGCCCAACCTCTGCTGGCCAGGCTTCCCCGAGCTCACCTGTGCAGGTGGAAACACAGAGAGTGCATACAGAAGAGGGGGCCCCCCCCGAGGCTGTAGGTGGGGTCTGTGCCCCACAAGCTGTGCCCCCTCAGCCCCAGCCCAGGGGCCTTGCCTCTGAGACTGACTGAGCGTGCAGCTCCACCCTGACTGGCCCTCAGTGTCCCCATCCTTCTAGGGCAGCCCTCACCCCTCCCAAAGGGTGGGGCGCCCAGCCTTCGCCCACAAGTGCCTCAGTGCCTGCAGGGTTGGCCACCATGGCCAGGGGGCTCCGGACAGCCTCTATTTCCTGACCTTTTCCACCCTGAGCTTGGGAGTTCTCTCCATCCCTCCACTCCCCACCCTCTGGCAGGGTCCCAGGGAAACCACCAGGAGGAAAGACAGGCTTGCGTGCTTCTACAAGACTTATTTTTCTCTTGCCAACATATTTTTTGTAAGGCTAGTAAATAAATTATTTTGGACAAAACTGGAGCATGTGCCCAAATGACAGTTTTATTTTCTGTCCTTAAAATAAAGAAACCACTTTCATAAAGGGGAAGATTGCATATTCTTGGCCTCTTTTCTTTCTTCTGGTCTGAAATGCTAACAGTCAATGCTTGTGGAGATTTCTCTGAGCTGCACACTGAGCTTTTCTGGGTGTGGTTTTCCTTTACTCTTCTCCCCGTGAAGTGAGTACCAATACCGATTGTAGGAAGACTGAGGCCAGGAGGAAGAGGCTGCTGAGATTGCAGTGAGCAAGGGACAGGCCTGGCTTGAGGAGCACCAGCTGATGGTTCCCAAGTCCAGGCTTGGTCCGGACACCTGGGAGGCTTTCTTACCTCCCTAGTTTCCTGTTTTCTTCATCTGAGATACAGCCCAACAGCCCCACTCCCATGGTGTCCTGAGGGCCCAGGGAGGTGTTCCTGTCAGTTTCAAAGCATCAGTTGGAGCACAGAGGCCCAGGAAGCTTGGCAGCTGCTGTCCCTGTTTTCCCACCCCGTAGCATTCTGGGAGCAGGGATGGATGAGTCTGTCCACGACCTTCTGTGAGGCTGCTCTGGGTCAGCTCCTGGGTTCAGCCCCATAGGGCTTCTAGGAACAGATGGGCAAGAGAAGTGAAAACAGAATCAAGCATCCTGGTGGGAGAAGCCCATACTCATAGCCTGATTAGGAGTGGGCCACTTTCTCATTGCTGGGACACAATACCCAAGACCCACCCTGAAGGGGAAGTTTATTCCAGCTCGTGTTTCTAGCCCAGAGTCTGCTGGCTCCCAGCAGGACAGCAGAGGGGCATAGCAGGGGACAAGCTGCTCCCATCATAGCAGCCAGGAGACAGAGTGCAGGAAGAGCCAAGAAGGGAGATAAAACCTTCATGTCATTTAAAAAAAAAAAAAAAAACTTCAGGTCGTATCCTCCCCCAACCAGAACTCTGCCTCCTAACGGCAAGTCAGGCAAAATCCATCATCTTCAAAAAGTCCTGCCTATGAGCCCTGAGGTTCTTATGGGACATCTAGATATAAACCATAGCAGCCACCTGAAAGACCCGGATTTGTGATTGAGGAGGGGTCAGTCAAAGAAGGCCTCCTGGAGGTGATGATGCCTAAGGAGCCAGCCAGGTGGAAAAGGTGAAGGGAAGAGCGGGAACATTTCAGGCCAAGGAGACCACTGTGCAAAGGCCAGGGACAAAAGGCATGGGGCACTGGGAAAGGGGAGGTATTGGAGCCTCAACGAGTGGGCTGGAAGAACCCTTTGCAGTTCCCGCTGTTCTGGGGGGAGTGGGGCCAGGCGTCTGCAGCGTCTTCTCTGAGATTCATTCCTGCTTCCCACACTTTAAAGTCTTGGCTCCTCAGAGGTTCTAAGACCTGCAGTTTCCTCTACATCAGAAGCCCCCCTCCCCAAGCTGGGGACACAGGCATATGGATCACCTCATCACTGCCCTAGGGTACTGGTCTTAGCAACCCCAAAACGCCCAGACCCCACCAAAAACAGATTCTGAGCTCCTGGTATGCACTCGGGCCCTGAAAAAGCATTTGTCAAGTCATCGAACTGTAAGCTTGAGATTTACACATCTTACTCTGTGTAAATTATATCTCAAAAATAACTCCCCCAGGGAACTCTGCCGCACTCGCGGTGTGGAGAGCCACTATCCCAGCGTGGCCAAGAAGGCACCAAGCGCCACTTGTCCGACATTATTTCTCAGGACTTCGCTTGGAACTGGAGCGTGCGTGGTTCAGAGGGCCATTAGATCGCCGGGGGAAGGGAAGGGGAAGTAAACAAGGTTAAAATGTGGTTAGGTAATGAACCAACTCCCCGCGATGAATGTCATCATAATATACTGCAAACACGTACTAATACACATTAAAACAATACATTTAAAAAACAAAGAGTTAACCCAAAGACTCCTCTCAGCCTGTTTTCCTCCTAGCAACCTGCTCTCCTAAGCATCTGATTGGCTGGGGGACGCGAATTTGGTCACCCGGATTTTCTAGTCAAAGCTCCTTATTAGTTACAAAAAACGTCAGTCTCCAAGGCTCCGCCCCTGTAAGAGGGTAGTCGGAGTTGAAACTTGGCGACGATCGGCCCAGAAGACTAATGGGGCAGGGATAAGGACCGGCTGGTTCTACATTGGTATATGCCTTTCCGGGCAGTAGCTATTCCCGGCCCTTTCTCCAAGCTCAGTACGCTCTCTGCCTAGTTCTTCTCCGAGCCTCTATCCCCTATTGGCCGCGGTCCAGGCTGTGGCCCCGCCCCCTG